AAGTCAAATGATTTCAAAAAAGCTAATTGAATCAAGTGAAAGTCAAACAAATTCAAACATAGCTTTTTGAAAGAAATTATTGTCAAATGCATTCAACGATACTAATTGAATCATATGAAAGTCAAACACATTCAAACAAATCTTTTTGAATCAAATTAAAGTCAAATGCATTCAACAGATCAAATTCAATCAATTAAAAGTCAACCACATTCAAACAAAGCTAATTAAATCCAATGGAAGGAAAACACATTCAAACAAAGCTATTTGAATCAAATGATTGTCAAATGCATTCAACGATACTAATTGAATCATATGAAAGTCAAACACATTCAAACAAATCTTTTTGAATCAAATGAAAGTCAAATGCATTCAACAAAGCAAATTGACTCAATTGAAAGTTAACCACATTCAAGCAAAGCTAATTGAATCAAATGAAAGTCAAACACATTTAAACAAAGCTATTTGAACCAAATGAAAGTCAAACACATTCAAGAAATGCTATTTGAATCAGATGAAAGTTAAACGAATTCAAAAAAGGTATTTAAATCAAGTGAAAGTCAAAATCATTCAAACAAAGCTATTTGAGTCAAATTAGAATCAAACACATTCAAACAAAGCTTTTTGAATTAAATGAAAGTCAAATGCATTAAACAAAGCTAATTGATTCAAATGAAAGTCAATCACATTTAAACAAAGCTAATTTAATCAAATAAAAATCAAACACATTCAAACAAAGCTTTTTCAATCAAATGAAATTCAAATGCATTCAAAATAGCTACTTGAATCAAGTGAAAGTGATACAAAGCTTTTTGAATCAAATGATTGTCAAATCCATTCAATTATGCTAATTGAATCATATGAAAGTCAAGCACATTCAAACAAATCTTTTTGAATCAACTGAAAGTCAAATGCAATTAAAAAAAAGTAATTAAATCAAGTGAAAGTAAAACACATTTAAACAAAGCTTTTTAAATCAAATGAAAGTTAAATACATTCAAAAAAGCTAATTGAATAAAGTGAAAGTCTAGGTAATTCAAACAAAGCTTTTTGAATTAAATGACTGTCAAATGCGTTAAACGATGCTAATTGAATCAAATGAGAGTCTAACACATTCAAACAAAGCTTTTTGAATCAAATGTAAGTCATATGCATTCAACAAAGCTAATTAAATCAAAAGAAAGTCAATGGCATTTTAACAAATCTAATTAAATCAAACGAAAGTCAATGGCATTCTAACAAACCTAATTAAATCAAAAGAAAGTCAACCACATTCAAACAAAGCTAATTGAATCAAATGAAAGTTAACCACATTCAAACAAAGCATATTAAATCAAGTGAAAATCAAACACATTCAAACAAAGCTTTTTGAATCAAAAGAAAGTCAAATGATTTCAAAAAAGCTAATTGAATCAAGTGAAAGTCAAACAAATTCAAACATAGCTTTTTGAATCAAATGATTGTCAAATGCATTCAACGATACTAATTGAATCATATGAAAGTCGAACACATTCAAACAAATCTTTTTGAATCAAATGAAAGTCAAATGCATTCAACAAATCAAATTGAATCAATTAAAAGTCAACCACATTCAAACAAAGCTATTTGAATCAAATTAAAGTCAAACACATTCAAACAAAGCTTTTTGAATTAAATGAAAGTCAAATGCATTAAACAAAGCTAATTGATTCTAATGAAAGTCAGTCACATTCAAACAAAGCTAATTTAATCAAATAAAAATCAAACACATTCAAACAAAGCTTTTTCAATCAAATGAAATTCAAATGCATTCAAAATAGCGATTTGAATCAAGTGAAAGTCAAACAAAGCTTTTTGAATCAAATGATTGTCAAATCCATTCAACGATGCTAATTGAATCATATGAAAGTCATGCACATTCAAACAAATCTTTTTGAATCAACTGAAAGTCAAATGCAATTAAAAAAAAGTAATTAAATCAAGTGAAAGTCAATTACATTTAAACAAAGCTTTTTAAATCAAATGAAAGTTAAATCTAGTCAAAAAAGTTAATTGAATCAAGTGAAAGTCTAGGTAATCCAAACAAAGCTTTTTGAATCAAATGACTGTCAAATGCGTTCAACGATGCTAATTGAATCAAATGAGAGTCAAACACATTCAAAAAAAGCTTTTTGAATCAAATGAAAGTCATATGCATTCAACAAAGCTAATTGAATCTAATGAAAGTCAATGGCATTCTAACAAACCTAATTAAATCAAACGAAAGTCAATGGCATTCTAACAAACCTAATTGAATCAAATGAAAGTCAACCACATTTAAACAAAGCTAATTGAATCAAATGAAAGTTAACCACATTCAAACAAAGCATATTAAATCAAGTGAAAATCAAACACAATCAAACAAAGCTTTTGAATCAAAAGAAAGTCAAATGATTTCAAAAAAGCTAATTGAATCAAGTGAAAGTCAAACAAATTCAAACATAGCTTTTTGAAACAAATTATTGTCAAATGCATTTAACGATACTAATTGAATCATATGAAAGTCAAACACATTCAAACAAATCTTTTTGAATCAAATTAAAGTCAAATGCATTCAACAGATCAAATTGAATCAATTAAAAGTCAACCACATTCAAACAAAGCTAATTGAATCAAATTAAAGTCAAACACATTCAAACAAAGCTTTTTGAATTAAATGAAAGTCAAATGCATTAAACAAAGCTAATTGATTCAAATGAAAGTCAATCACATTCAAACAAAGCTAATTTAATCAAATGAAAATCAAACACATTCAAACAAAGCTTTTTCAATCAAATGAAATTCAAATGCATTCAAAATAGCGATTTGAATCAAGTGAAAGTCAAACAAAGCTTTTTGAATCAAATGATTGTCAAATCCATTCAACGATGCTAATTGAATCATATGAAAGTCAAGCACATTCAAACAAATCTTTTTGAATCAACTGAAAGTCAAACGCATTCAAAAAAGGTATTTAAATCAAGTGAAAGTGATCAGTGGCCATTTGGCCCACTTTTCTACTTCGTTTCTTCCCCGATTGAGCCCTTTGTTTGCCCTTTTTCCTCTATTTTAGCTTAGTTTTGTTATTATTGAGCATATTTGTTACTTGGAGTGGTTTTGAGTCATTTTTGGCTCATTTCCTAAGGTTTTATTCCCTCTCCTTTAACCCATTTCAATTTGCTCCTATTAGAACCTTTCCTATGATTTGTGTTTTCCATCTTACAGGTCCTCCCGTGGCTAAGAAAGCAAGGATTGGATGCAAGGATTAGGCATGCTTTTGAGTCAAAGGGATTGGAGCATTAAAGCCCAAAATATGAAGGAAAGAAGAGTTCAGAGCGGGCGCTCTAGATATGGAGCGGGCGCTCTGTATTCCTTGCTGCAGAAAAACCAAGTACCCAACCCTCAGAGCGGGCGCTCTAATGTTGAAGCGGGCGCTCTAGCTCCCAGAATAATCAGAGCATTTTCTGCGAGACTTCAGAGCGGGCGCTCTGGCCTTAGAGCGGGCGCTCCGTGTTCCCCTGACCGATTTGAACTCTGCTACACGCGTAGGCCGACGGCTCTAATTATTTTACTCTGCACGTGATGCCTAAAATTTTGGGCCTTGATTTGGGTTAGGTTTGAGAGGAGGGTATAAATACCTCTCTTCCTTGTAATTGGGGGGAGAGAGGTATGTAGAGAGAGAAATATTAGAAAATCAGATTTCAGCTTATTGTTTTTTTTCTTTCTTTTGCACTTTAGATTAGTTAGGGTTTAGTTCCTCATTAGATCTAAAACACTACTCTTTGTTACTCTCTTTCATTTTCAATCCAAGATTAAATCTTTTGGTATTATTTCTATCCCTACTCTTTATTTATTGCTTTATTTATCTATTTTAATTAGTTTTAGCTTATCTTTAGTTGTTATTTCAAGTCAATAGAATAGTTTAATATCTTAGTTGCCTCCTTGTTTAAACTTGCAATTTCTGGTTTTGATCCTTTATTTTCTTGCTATTAGTATAATATTATCCTTATTTGCTTAGATTTCATGCTATTTAGAATAGATTACAAGTAGACTTAACATATTCTCTTCAAAGTTAACTTCTTTAGTAAAGTTTAATCATCCTATTTTCTGGTTTTAGCCATGTTTCTCTCATTAAACTTAGTTTTTGCTTTTGTTAATGTTCTTGTGTGCTTTGGTATGACCCTTCCTTCTCTAGGCTAGGTTTCTAGCTAGGGGAGGGGGAAATGATGAACTAATGATGAAATGAATGATATGTGGTGCAAGATTGGGTAGATTGAGAAGTTTTGCAATTGATTCCAACCTAGGTTTTAATTGTTAGGAATTAGAGATTGATCACCTCTAAGACCCTATTTTGTGTTGCATGCTAGTTGCGCGAGAGTGAGCTTGTATGTGATGATGACTAGGTTAGGGATGACCTCGACCACCGAGGCGGGGTTGGGTAGGCGGTGTTTAGGTGAGCCCGAGAGGGAATCCTAGATGTTGGACCATAGGCCCCAATTGTTTGGTTGACCGATTGAACCATTCTTGTTGCCTCTAATTGTTGAAATCATTGTTAGTTAGGAATTCTCCCCTATCCCCTAGTGTTTGCTATTCCTTGATTTTCGAAGTTTTATATCTCTGCTTGTTGCTTGTTAATTTAGTTCTTAGTTTATTTGTTTCCCTAGTAGCTATAGATAAATCCATCAAAAATTTATTCCTCCCTTTTCAATTGACTTATAAGTGATCTAAGCAAGAGACGTTTGACCTTCCCTGAGGATTCGACCCCTCTTCCACTATGCTACCTTTGGTTAGTTTAGGACGTGGGTTTTCTTTTTATTCTTGACTCGACCTTTAGGAACTAACGACACCTAGGGGGCCGATCAAGTTTTGGCGCCGTTGCCGGGGAACGGCAACATTGTTTATTGCTTAGTTATCTTGTTTTTCAATTGTTTTCTACTTCTATCCTTCTATTTTTCATTTATTTCTCCGTTGTTGTCATTCGCTAATTGTCTGCTTAGCTGTGTTGAATGCTTAGAAGATCACAGGGACCACCTACTCACGACCTCGATCTCGACATTGACCGCACTCTAAGGCGAGTGAGGAGACTATTTGTTGAACAAACGGGTGAGGAGGAGGAGTTCTTTGATTCTTCTAGTGATATTTCTTCAGACATGGGGGATGCCAATGGCGCTCTTTTTGGTGACTTTGGTAATCCGGGTAGTCATGAATTGCAATGTGGGATTCTACTTCCTACAACGGAAACAAATTTCACTATCCACCCGCACTACACTCAAATGGTGCGTGGAGATCAATTTTCTGGAGCAGCTCATGAAGATCCGATAGAGCATTTGGACAAATTTCTCGAGACATGTGCTTTACTCCAAACCAACCAAGTCACTCAAGAATACATCCGGATGCACCTTTTTCGGTATTCGCTCACAGGCAAGGCTTATAGGTGGCTCAAAAACCTAAAGCCCGGCTCGTTGGCCTCATGGAGAGACACGGCCAAAGCTTTCTTGAACAAGTTCATTCTCGAAGACAAATCAACCGAATTGAGGCAGAAAATTTCATCATTTAGGCAAGAAAGGTATGAATCTTTGGGGGAAGCTTGGGACCGGTTTAAAGAGTATGTGAGAGCTTGCCCACACCATGAGTTTGACAAGCAACTTCTCATCAAGTTCTTCTATGATGGTCTTGACGACATACCCAAGCAAAATTTGAATTCCGGATGTGGTGGACATATTAGCAAGGTGCCTCAAGCTCAATTGGAGGACACCATAGAGGAAGTTGTGAGGTATTATTCTACGAGTGGTGGAAGAAGAAGAGGTGAAGAGAGAGCTTCGGGCAAATTCGAGCTTGATCAAGGTTCACTCAAGGCTCTTATGGAACAAGTCATTGACAAGAAGCTGGGAAATAGCCAAGGGTCTTCATCTTCCTCCACCAATCAAGTACACTCTTTCTCTTGTGAGAATTGTGGGGGTACCAACCATGATATATCATATTGTGGTGGTCGAGACCCCGAACATGTAGCGGCAATGGGGTACATGAACAATCAACGTGATAATTGGAGAGCCCCCAATGCCAATTATGGTAATAGATTTCAAGATGCAAGTGGCCCAAGCCACAACACGGGTCAAATGGCTCCCTTTCCAAATCCAAATGCTAGCAATCACCCTAGAGCACCATTCAAGCAAGGACCACCCAACCAATTTCAGAATTTCCAACCCAACCCTTCCATGCAAAATGATCCTAATCAACAAATGCTCATGGAAACTCTCAATAGAATCCAATCAAGCCTATCCGCCATGGATCAAAGAATAACCAATAGTGAGCGAAAAGCGGATCAAAGGCATCAAGAGGTCACCGCACATCAAAAGATGATGGATAATCAAGTGGCTCAACTCGCCGAGAGGGTGACCAATCTAGCCAATGAGAAGCTCCCGGGCCAACCTACTACCAACCCGGCTACCACCCATCATATCAAAGCTATCTCTCTTAGGTCCGGAAAGTCTTATGAGGGGCCTAGGAGTGATCAATCGGAGAACAACAAGGAGGGTGAAGAGCAAGTGGTTGAAGAGGTCAATGGAGATAGCCAAGGTCAAATAATTGACAATAGTGTTGAAGGAAGCATTGAGAAGAAGAAGGGTGAAGGTAGTGAAAAGAGCAAGGAAGTTGGGAAAGACAAGCAACCATCAACATCTTATCAATCATCAAGGTTTGAACCACCACCGCCTTATCCCGAGAGGATTGTTGAGAGGAGATTGAATGACAAGTACAACAAGTTTATGGCTATGCTCAAGTCACTTCACATCAACATTCCATTCCTTGAAGCCATGACTCAAATGCCACCCTATGCAAAATTCCTCAAGGAACTCCTCTCCAACAAAAAAGAAGCTAAGTGATGAGTGTATCACTCTTCCTCATCAAGTTAGTGCCCTAGTGCAAAGAACCTTGCCTACCAAGCAATGTGATCCGGGAAGCTTCACTCTTCCGGTCAAGATTGGTGATATGGAGACCACGGGTGCACTAGCCGATCTTGGGGCAAGTGTGAGCCTCATGCCACTATCCATTGCAAAGAAGCTCAAGTTCGAGATGATACCTTCAAGAAAGGTGATTCAATTAGCCGACCGGTCCACAAAATTCCCATGCGGTGAGTTAGAAGACGTTCCTATCAAGATTGGGAATTTGTTTGTGCCTTGCGATTTTGTGGTGATGGATATGGAGGAGGACCCTCATACTCCTCTTATCCTTGGAAGAGAGGCACTCAAGACCATGGGAGCGGTCGTCAATTGCAAAGATAATACCATTACATGTGAGGTGGCCAATGAGAAGTACAAGTTTGAATTCTCAAAGACTTTGAAGCAACCTATGGTAGAGAAGATTTGGCGGTGGACTTGGTGGACTCCGAACTTGATGAATTGGTGAAGTCTCATGAGGTAATTAAAGACAAGGGTGATGAAGACCTCCCATGTGAGGAGGTGGGTGAAGGAGAATCTTTGTGTGCCTTGGAGGTTGAAAGCCTTGAAGGTGAAACTCATCCCGAGACTCAAGGAGCCGTGGATGAGCTCCCATCGATCCAAAGTGAGTCTAAGGAGGAGAGTTCCACGCCTCCTCCCAAGGTAGAACTAAAACCCCTCCCTCCTTCTCTCAAATATGCTTATTTGGATGATGATTGCTTACATCCTATTATTGTCAATGCTAACCTCGATGACACCTCATTGCAAAAATTAATTGAGATTTTTAAAAAAATATAGGAGTGTTATCGGTATAGCATTGGTGATATTAAGGGGATTAGCCCTAGCTTGTGTATGCATCGCATTCATCTTGAGGATGATCATGCCTCTTCCATTGAACCTCAAAGGCGGTTGAATCCGACTTTGAAGGAAGTGGTTAAGAAGGAAATCCTCAAACTACGTGAAGCGGGGATCATTTATGCTATCTCCGATAGCAAATGGGTGAGCCCGGTTCATGTGGTTCCCAAAAAAGGGAGGCATGACCATCATACAAGATGACAAGGGAATGATATCTCCACCCGCACTGTCACGGGTGGAGAATGTGCATTGACTATAGGAGGCTTAATAAAGCCACTAGAAAAGATCATTTCCCCTTGCCATTTATCGATCAAATGTTGGAAAGGTTGGTGAAGCATTCACACTATTGTTTTCTTGATGGTTATTCGGGTTTCTTTCAAATCCCAATTCACCCGGATGACCAACATAAAACAACCTTCACTTGTCCATTTGGGACATTTGCCTACCGAAGGATGCCCTTCGGATTGTGCAATGCCCCATCGACTTTCCAACGATGTATGACAGCAATCTTTTCTGATATGATCGAAAATGCAATAGAAGTTTTCATGGATGATTTCAGTGTTTGTGGTTCGTCTTTTGACCTATGCTTGCACAATCTCGAAAAGGTTTTAAAGAGGTGTCAAGAGACGAACCTTGTGTTGAATTGGGAAAAGTGCCATTTTATGGTCGAGGAGGGCATTGTCCTCGGGCATAAAGTGTCCATTAATGGTATTGAGGTAGACCCGGCAAAGGTCTCGGCGATAGAAAAGCTACCCCCACCATCATCGGTGACCGGGGTACGTTGCCTTCTTGGGGCACGCCGGCTTCTATCGCCGATTTATCAAAGATTTTGCACAAATAGCGAGACCTTTGACGAGTTTACTTCAAAAAGAGGTGGAGTTCAAATTCGATGATGCTTGCACTAAGGCATTTGAAACCTTG